TCTAATTGAGCAAACTCATCGGAGGGTCCTGCCACTCGGTACAAATGGTGTCTAAACATACATTGTAGATATTTAAGTACATTTATTAGCGCTATTAATTTATAGGCTGGATATTAGGAGTATAAGCATATTAAGAGTAAATAAATATTAGAAATAATCTTTGACATTACAAATAGAATAATGTTTAAATCTTAATTGAAAGAAAGTTTGCGTTTGAAAGTTAATTATAAATTAAAAAAAAAGGGTGCGTGTACTTATGTACGCGCGTAAGAAGTTATACTTCTTTGGCATTATTAAAAATAGTTTTTGATTGCATGCAAATAATTAATTACAATTAAATAATCAAAGACTGGAAAAAGAGTCATTATAGTCAATTAAGTTCAGTTTACATTTGAAAAATTAAATAAATAATTATTTATTATTATTTTCTTACATTAAGTGTAACATAAATTCTATTTAGTTAAAAGTATATATTATTATATTGTTAGCGGACTAACGCCATTTTGTAGCAGAAACCTATATAAAGCGTGGCAACACCGGCGTTGACTCACTTTTATTTCTAGACTTCGTGCGAACGGGCTTGTTACTAACCTAACCTCGGTAGATTTTAAAAGTCTAAAGTACCTACACGTTCTTATCTTTTATGTTTCCTAATATCAGAAGTGGGATTTGAACTTTTCGCTCACTTCTCTTTTGTTTTGTTTTGAGTAATCTTTGTGGTTTAAATTTTCCTTCTCTTTGTGTCCGTAATGTACGAAGTCACGAGTGATTAACATTTTAAAAGTGCTCTTTGTTTTAAAGTGTTGTTTGTGTTTGTCATGAGAGTGCAACAGTGTCGCATTAAATTTGGGATCGTCTAGTCGGCAAGGTAGACGAGAGATGCTTTGACAGAGGACGGCCGAACGGTTGAAGAACAGTCAAATCAATCAGGACACTGTCGTTAATGTGGGTCGTAGACCCCCCCTTGTAAATTCCAGAAGGATGATCTGGTCTTTGTTATTAAGAACATGCAAAGGTATGGGTTTCTGTTTTAAATTTTTGTGGTGCTAATGTGTTTAGACCACTTTGAGAACATACAAGTGTATGGGTCTCTGTTTTAAGTTATTCTGGTGCTAATGTGTTTAGACCACTTAGAGAACATGCAAAATGTATGAGTCTCTGTTTTAAAAAATTGTCGCTTATGAGAGCACTAGGAGCCACTGTCGATACGACGGTGTATTGCAAATACTGAGTTGTCTTTATTTGTGTTAAGTCTGAAGCTATCTAATTCTGTAATATTTGCTTTTTGAAAGATCAATGGACAGGGTAACCAGCCCCAAACTCACGATCTTCCTGTATAAATTGTAAAAAGATCAATGGACAGGGTAACCAGTCCCAAACTCACGATCTTCCTGTATAAATTGTAAAAAGATCAATGGACAGGGTAACCAGCCCCAAACTCACGATCTTCCTGTATAAATTGTAAAAAGATCAATGGACAGGGTAACCAGCCCCAAACTCACGATCTTCCTGTATAAATGGTAACAAGATCAATGGACAGGGTAACCAGCCCCAAACTTACGATCTTCCTGTATTAATGGTAAAAAGATCAATGGACAGGGTAACTAGCCCCAAACTCATGATCTTCCTGTATGAATGGTAAAAAGATCAATGGACAGGGTAACCAGCCTCAAACTCACGATCTTCCTTTATGAATGGTAAAAAGATCAATGGACAGGGTAACTAGCCCCAAACTCACGATCTTCTTGAGAAATAAGTAGACCTTTATACCTTATATCTACTCTTATGGTGATACTAAACTTGTGATTGTTTACACAAGTCCTTTACACATGAAAGTGCTAGTTTGTTTCAAATCTTGTAAGGGTTATGAATAAACTTTCACTCATTCCTTGGAGTCTGATACTTTAAAGTTCCTTTCTATCTTTCAATACTTTGATTGTTTGTATTAAACCAAGTAAATATGTTCAGCTGCTGACCAAATAGACGACGCAATACCTTCCCAGAACTGTAATGTTCTAACGTTCTATTCTACCCACAGAGATGACAGTATAGACGCTGGAACATCAAATCCTGACGAGGACGTCAGGGTGTCAGGGAGAGGCCGTGTTAGCGGACTAACGCCATTTTGTAGCAGAAACCTATATAAAGCGTGGCAACACCGGCGTTGACTCACTTTTATTTCTAGACTTCGTGCGAACGGGCAAGTTACTAACCATAATTCTTTATTAGATTTTAAAAGTCTAAAGTACCTACACGTTCTTATCTTTTATGTTTCCTAATAATATATTTAGAACATCTCTACCAAACACTAAGAAGTATATTGTAGCTTTGGCAGTATTGCACAATATAAAATTAATAAATTTCTTTGAAAAAATAAACAAAACTCCTTTATTTGTTTAAAAGGTAAATGACAAATGTCATTATGGTCATTCAAAATTCTTGGCATACGAACTTCACGCATATTCTATTTCTTTTTATTTGTAGATTGTCTTATTCCTATCTCGCTCGCGCACGCTATAATCACACTCCCAGTTTTGTGTCACAGGTGCGCGCGCATCGTAAAATTTCACTCTCATAAATTTTTCATAACGAGCCTAAAGAAGTATAACTTCAAAAATAAAATATGTTTATTATGGAATATAAATCACTTATTCCGCGTCATTTAATTTGAATCGGTAGACATCCGCACTCATCGACACAGAAGACAATGGGTGTAGGCCGAGAGAAAAAGCCGGCGTAAAAAACTCTCGGCACTCTTTTAAAATAGCAAATCATCAAACAACACTTATTTTAAAACAAATATCGCAAATTAATTAGAAGTAGCCTGTCTAGCACTAGTCCCAGGCCCTTCTATCAACTAGATAATCGTTAACTTTATAGTACCTAAGCCTTTCCACAAAGCTTTTCTTTTATACATTTTTAAATTTATTAAAAGGCAGAGATAAAAGAGCCTCTGGGCTTTATTAAAGAGAAGTATCCTTTTTCCCAAAAAGAATGACTAACTTAAATAATAGTAATTCAAAAAGGATTTTAAGAATTCCTTAAATAGAAAATTAATAGGAACCAATAAATATTGTAATTACCCTTCATATTTTTCATGTCCACCATATACAGCGCCCAGGAGTAGCAGCAAATAGATTGCCAATGATGCCATCTTCATCAACTAAATGTTAATGAATATCTACTGGGCTTATAGGCAACTGTTACTTATCAATGGATTATAATTATCAAATTTTTATTGTATTTAAAAATATTCGAGAATCGTTTTATTGCATTTATTTACATTATCTATATAATTTAGTGACACCATTTTGGTATTATCACAATCTCATTGCGCATAAAAATGCAAGTAATGATATTTCACACTTTGGTACTTTATAAATAATAAAAACAAGATACTTAACGGTAATATCTTGTTTATTAAAATATAACCCAGTGGAGCGTATGAGGTCTGGGCCTCAGAATCTGTTTACTAGATGTACACATTTAAAGAAAAACCCTTTTTAACCGGATTAAAGTTATGTATTATTATAAATTTACAATTATTTAACATAATTTGACCAACCGAAAGTACTTGCGAAAGAAAAAAGTTTCTTCCCAAGATTGGTACGCGAAGCCATTGAAATCAAAAAACACCCCAATTTCAATAGAGAAGACGGCCTAAAATTGTCAAACACCTGGGATCCAATAATATCCAAATTAAAACCTCAAGAAAAACAATCCGCGAAAATAGAGGACACCATGAGCCATTTTTGCCAAAACCCTCCATCTTTTAGTCGATACCAACTCCGGGGAAATAAATACAGATAATGCAACTTTCTCTACAGCTGTGATACTTTTTGACATCCAACACCTTTTGAGTTTTGTCTTCAGTCACTGTGACCACGCACTGTGCCACGCACGCTGTAAAGCACGCGAAAGGTCGGATAAATTTAAAATTATGTTAAATAATTGTAACTATGTATATCTTTCAGGCCACTAGTAAAACGGTGCCGTTTAGTTAAGAGGCTAGGCTGTTAATTGAACGGCTTATTAAGCTAGTTGGCTGCGACATATTAGGTTGGGGAAAAAAATCTAAATTTATTTAATCATAATAGTAACTATGTACAGTTATGAACATCAATATTAAAAATAATACACGTTCCCAAATGAAGGGAGCCATGCTGAAAGCATGGCAAGCTTAACTTGACATATTGAATAAAATGTTATAAAAATAAAATAGCAAACGCTAAGTATCAACGGGCATAATAGGACGTTTTAGAATACGACAGTCTAGTCTTTAGAATAAAATAAAACAAGTTTGTGTTTTTTTTTTAAATTAATTTTAATTATAAATTCTCGAAATGTATCGCGCTCCCGCAGAAAATCCAGCATAAGTTTCGACAACAATATGCACTAGATATTCTGGAAGTACAAAGAAAGTGTATCTAGCCTGGTAGCTTCAAGGGATATGTGAAAAGTATGCGGTTCGCATGAGACCAATCCATAGATGTTCCAGTTGTTCACTAGATAACTTGAACGGAATTTCCAACTATGTAGTTACGAGCTTGTGGTAATTTTAGAGCGTCCATCGCTTGTGCCATTTGAACACCGACGTGCATCATTTAGCCATTTTGAGGTAACGTTTCTGGAAGAGATGACTATGAAATAACTTAATGTTATAAGTGGGCCTTTGAGGCGAGGCCTTGCTACTTTTGATGTTAACGTTTACGTTAATATTATGATTTAACATGACCCGATAAAATGAAAGTAACGAAAATTGAAGAGATTTGTAAAGCTAATTTAATAAGTTGATTTAGAAATTAAATTATAATATACATCGTTCAATTGTAACAAAAGTGGTGCATTCAGATTAATTAGCAATATTATAAACCCGCACAATTAGCCATATAAAAATAGGCATGCAAATGTAATCGTCATGATGTTATAATAATAAGTAAATAAATAGATATTCCTGGAATTAGTGCGTTGCTGGTAAAAAATCCTTAAGCTCAGTGGCGTAACTACACCGTCAATCTTCTTTTGATGGGGCCCTATCACTAAAAATCTTCCCTACTCAGTTTAACTGTAATAAACTTCGAGATTTAATACGTACAGTAACAGCGTACTCAATTACACGTTGTATATGGCCCACTAATGGCCATAGGCCTCCTTTCTTAGGCGAGAGGGAATGGTCTGTAGTCCCCACGCTAGCCCAATTGGAGACTTCACAATCATCCATAGAACACAATATCTCTTGGGTCGGGCGCCCGTGGTTTTTTGCCAGCCCTGCCACCCTATTGTTACGCCACTGCTTAAGCTATTAAAAATAAATAATATGTATTACCCGTTTCATTGAATAGTCGTAACCATCAGGATTTGGCATAGAAATGATGAGCCAGTCGAAATTCCTCACCTGATTATCACTGACGTCGACAACCAACTTGTGTACAAAGCCACGAGCGTCGTCACCCTTTCTCTTGCGTGTAAGGCTGTCTCAATAACAATGGCTGGCTTATGAAGTTGTTCAAAACGTGTAGTAGATATTCGGATATTTGTTTGCCTTCAAAAGTCAAACCAACGTTGATAAGTGTTAAGCCTTCGGGGTATTTCTCACCTAAACTGTCTAAGTCAGTGTTTCACAACGTGGGGCTAACGCCACACAGAGGGGCAATTTGATTGTTAAGGGGGGCAATTCGAAAATGGAGTCGACGTTTTTTGTTTTGAAAATTTACTTGCTGTGTTACTTAAACAATTTCCTAGTGATTTCTTCCTAAAACCTCTATTTGAGTTTCTTAAGAAAACAATTCCATTTTTAATATTAAACTTATGTATGTTACATAGGGGGTATAAGTATTTTAGCAAGGCTAAGGTATGGCACCAAATGGTTGGGAAACACTGCTCTAAGTAGTAATTTAACTAAAAGTGTTTTGTTTATATATATATAACTAGTGGAGCCCACAGACGTTGTCCTGCACAAACGATGGATTTAGAAGTATGAAAGCACTGCAGTGCCATCTGGTGATGAATCTAAACCATTCCCAGATCCCCTAGAACACACAAAAAAATTTCATAAAGGTAGTGTTTGAGAATTGTCATACACAAGAAATATATATATATAATATAATACCTTAATAACTATTATTATATCTCTATGAATAGTTCTTGACGAATTCAAAAATAATAAGATAAATAGCTGCATAATATTTCTTCAAAAAATGTTTTAAATAAATCTTCTAACTAGTCATATTAAGCTGCATGCCAAGCCTTGCCTGGCATGAGAATTCATTTGTCTGTTTAGTAAATTATTAGTAGAAATTTACACAGCAATGTCTCCCCAGTGGACCGTTTACCTTTTATAGATATAAGTTCCGCAATAAGTCTTTACCTGTTGATAATCGTAATATGTGTCCCAAGGCGTTGAGTTGCCATTGTCAACTCTCGTGTAATGAGTTTTTATGTGTTCTTCCTCTTGGAGTATTAGTATTAGTACGTTGTAAAAAGAATTGAAAAATCTTCATTTGCAAATATTTACTACGATTTTATACATTCACCCATTTATTAAATTTTTTTAGTAATCGTATGTTATGTTATTACAATTTTCTTAACCTACATACTAATAATAAAAATTAATAAAAAGAAAATTGAAATAAATTTAAAAAGTTTGGTCCCTGTGGCAGTGAATCTTTAACGCTGGCAGCATTTCCTCGCTGTATTACGATACTTATTCGTTGAGCGAGGAAAGCATCAGCTCTGGGGTAACTTTATTTCACTATTCAATTTCTAATTTCTTTAGTAATAAATACCCTTCATAATGTTCAAGTCCCCTGAAGCTCTCGAAGCTCCAAGAAGAAGAAACAACAAAATGCGTCTCATGTTCTAAATATAAAAAGAGTTAAATTTTCTGGATTATTCAATTAAAGGATTATTATTTCTTTATCGGAATCATTGGGCATAGAACAATTAATTTGGTACTTAAAATTTTTGTTTTCTTTATTATACTTAGATATAGATTAATTGTCTGATTGCTGATATCGCTTATCCTTATCAGTAAATATTTGTTATCAGTTTATTGTAATTTGTATAATATTATTGATCGTTGATTACTTATACTGCCTATATATTTGTGTTATTATCTGGTCGCAAAAAAATGCTTCCAAAATGCTGTAAAACTTTTTAGTTTTTGTTAAAATGAGAGGTAAGTATAGTTTTATGTAGACTTAGTCTGTAATTTTTTATATTCTGGCTTAGTTGTAGAATTTATCTTAATTTCATCTAGTATGAAGTAAATGCTTATTCTATAGGTCATTAAACAAACAAGATGAAGTCATAAGACAAAAACCCACAACGGTTTGTGCCATTTAATGCGAAATTCATCATATGCGTGCTAAAATTACAGATAAGATAAACTATTTTGAAACCTTTTATACTAAAATTAGGTAGTACTTAAATGTGTTATAGTCTATAATACTGTATCTATAAGTAGGTATTATTTATTAATATATATATATTTTATTTTTTTATTATGTACAGGGACCCCTACATCCTAGCCTATAAGACACGCAATCAGGCAGATATGTGACCGAGTGGCTAAGCAGCAGTGGAGTGTCGAGTTATTCCCTTTCTTAGAAAGGGACATTATTATCTGGAAGGGTTGGCGTCTCCCGCCGGGCCCGGGCGACAACTACTCCGGAAATATCGTCATAATATTTATGGGCGAGTCGGGGCCCGCTGCCCGGCGCCAGCCGCTTTACCTCTCGTGCTATTTTTGTGAGTGACATATCTGACAATCTTGCCGCAGAATTTTTCCAGCTGCGATCTGTGCTCAAGCAACATGTCGGATAGCCCATCCCGGGATACCCTCATGCCAGCCCGAGCTCCAGGTCGCACCTGGCCCTTTCAAAAGTCGCACAGTCAACAGTAAATGAACCACCGTTATGTCGGTTCTGTCGTCACAGTCACACGCGGGGCTTGTCTTCAGTTTGAGTCTGTGTAAATAGTGTCCAAAAGCCCCGTTGCCAGTCAGGATATTTTTAATATATATTGTATTGTATCATATAAGTAACAAATTGTACATTATTTATTTTAATTTAGAGAGATTTCGTTTTAATTCATCTAGTCTCATATCAATTAACATTTTCCCTTAAAATGCCTACTAATATATCTTTTCCAACA